TACGAGAATGTTACACAAACATTTTTTCAAATTGTTGTATTTCATAGTGGAATTACGATAATAATCATATATCAAGCCATAACAGACAGTAAAATTTTTTTTTGATTTTCGTAATTTTTGGACATTTTTTAGTATGCATCAAAAGCCTTTTTCAGGTAAATTTTAAGATTTTTTTTATCACCGGTTCAGTAGTCGAGTCGAGAAGTTGATTTTTTTAAATTTATTTTTTATTTTCTCTTTTATTTCTTCGGAAACAAATTTTTGAGCCGAATAGCTTCAACATCATTGCTTCTCCGGCTTTCTTGACTTATTGAAGATATTCGGCTCAAAAAAAATTTTTAAATCTCATAAACAAATAAGGTTAAAAATATAAAAAAAATATATTTGAATAGTTTAATAATCAGGTAAAAAAAAAGTCCTGAAGCATACTTGTTATAACATTATTAGTTTATGAGATATAAGCATTGTAAGAAATAGAAAATGCAAATTTTTATAAATAAATGCATGTAATTAAAGAATTAAAAGAGATAAACGGTAGGTTTGAAATTTATAAGACAGGTTAACTCATACTCTACAAAAACGACTTGAAGGTCGAAAGCTGTATCTGCAATAGTTGCAAAGTTACAACAATTTGTTTGTTGAAAAATCGAGTCAGTGCTTGGACTTTGTCGTGCTTCGAAATCCAAATGTTTTTTAAAAAATCGAAAAACTTTTTTTTTGCCACTATTTTAAGAAATGAAAATTATGATTTAAAAAAAAAAACGATTCTTTAATTATTTATTTAAACAATCAAAATATGAAAAAAACAATTATAAACAATAAGATATTGTTTTTAAGAAAAAAAATTTTTTTTTTAAAATCATAATTATCTCACGCTAACAATATGGTAAAAAAAAATTTTTCAAAAATATTTAATTAATTCATTTGTTTATAAAAAATTTATAAACAAATGGCATAAAAAAATTTTTAAAATAATCATTTGGTGCCTAACAAGAATATAAAATCAGTAATCACTTAGAATTAAAAAAAAAAATTATTTAACATACATTATTTAAATTTTTAATTTTTTTGTTGCTTCAAAAATTAATAATTAATGAAATAAAAATATTTTATAAACTTTTATAACGCCATATCGTTGAGTATGTTTATAAAAAGGGCTCCAAGAAACAAAAAATTTATAGATTAATTATTTAAACTTTTATGACAACACAAACCCTTAAAAAAAATGTTAATTAACAATTGAATAATTTTTTGAAAAATGGTGATACAACTTTTATTTCCGCGGAATCATATTGTTTGAAGTGTCTAGATAACACCAGAATTAAAAAAAATTTTTTAATTAATATTTAATTGCATAAAAAAATTATTAAAAAACTACGCTCATTAGAGTGGCGGCGCGCGCATGCCGAAACTGCCGCGCAAAAGCCGATTTTCAATGCTTAATTAAAATTATAAACATTGGAGCTATAATTTCGGGAGTCAAGAACTTTTATACTAAAATTTTCTGCTCTTTCAGAATCTTTTTTAATATTTGAGCTATCACTTATACTTTTTGAGATTTTGCCAAAAGGCTGGACGGCTAATTTTTTTTAATGGCTTTTTGTTAATAACAATTGTAATTTTCTTTTTCTAAAAAATTCCAAAAAACTCCTTTTTCTAGACGCCATTTCGGATCGTTTAAGCCATCAACCATTTTTTTTAGGAGCCTTGGAACTATTTTTCGCGAGATTTAAAAAAAAAACCCTCTTTTAATTTTAATTTTTTTTTCCGTACTCTATTAATTAATGCAAGTATTGGACGAAGGAATAAGATTTAAAAAAATTATTACTACTTTTTTTTAACAATTTGGAAAATTGTTGTTTAACAAAAACGAAAAAATTTTTACAAATAGACGCCATTTTGTCAAAAATCAGAATTTTTCATATTTAGTTACTAAAATTTTCTTAATTTAGATACTAAAAAGATCCAAGAAATAATAGTCGAAGATATTTTTATAAGGAATAATTTTTTATTGTAAGTATTTTTTACAATTTAATATTCTATTCTTGGTAGTGATTGCTAGAATCTAAATCATTTATATTATAATAACTTACGATATTTCTCTTGTATCATATATTTTCCTGATGGTTAAAATTACGTAATTTGATGAACATTTTCCTCGTTGGGAATTCCCGCATTAAAAGTTAACTTTTGATGAATTCATACTATATTTAAAAATTATCACAGATATTTTTTATATTTTATGAAAGTTTTTATATTAAAAGTTATCTCATGAAAATAATGATCACATTAAATTTTAACACCGTTGATAAAACAGTTTGGTTGTCATGGACGCGCAAACAATAACAAATAATAAAATGTTAAGCGTGTTAAAAACTTATAAAAATCATAATATCAATAGTTTAAGCAGTGTATTTACAAAAGAATTAGTTTAATCAGTGAAAATAAATGCAGTGAATGATTAAAAATGACAGACGAAATAAAATTACAAGAAGCTGTGAAGAAAACGCAAGATTTACTCGGTAAATACATAAAAAAGCCACCCCTTACTGACAAACTGTTGAGGAAACCCCCATTTCGTTTTATACATGACATGATAACGTCAATAATAAAAGAAACTGGATTTTTAAAAAATTTATACAGTGAAGACGAGTTAGTTAGTACAAATATCGCAGATAAAGAAGCAAAAATAGAATACTTGACAAAATTAATCGATGCCGTTAAATTAATAACCGCCAACAATCAACTGAGTGCCAGGCCGTCTAAAATAATTTCTGGTCAAGAACCGATAAAAACTAATGAGTTATTTCATGCAATAGGAAGGGCTTTGGATAAAAAAGTGTCAAGTGATGAAGCTATTGAGCACTATAAAAATAATTTGACCAAAAATAGTAAAGAAAAGACTTTAAAGAAAAAGAGCAGTTCGCCTGAAGTTAATTTGACAGCGAGCAATGAAAAAATTAACGCAAAAAAGACAGTGAAGAAGTCTACTGATAGTAGAGTGGGTAGTAAGGAGAGTGAGAAGAAGAAAAGCTCGCAAACGAAGCCGTCTGGAGAATCACGAAAACGAGACAATAGTATTGATAGAAAGACTGGTGATTCGAAATCAACGAAAGATAGCTTGAAGAAGAAAGAATCGACGCTTAAGAAGAAAGAAGTTGAGAAAAAACCGGAAAAACGAGTTAGAAGTAAAGAAACTTCTGGTTCGAAGAAAGAGGTGGCTTTACCGAAGACTACTGAAGAGCCAACTCAAACAGAAGATAAAAAAGATTCAGTCATCAGTGATACTAAGGAAGAAACGAAGGATTTAGTTGAAGAAAAAGCTGGTGAAAGTTTGGATAATAATCAACAGGTAAATCAAACTGTCGAAAGTAATGCGGAAACAATTGAATCTGTTGTTGATAAGTCGGAAGATATTGTGAAGGAAACTGCTGATAAAACTGACCCAGAACAAGAAACTAAGGTCCAAAGACTGAAAAAGCAAAGCAAATCTGTGGAATTGATTGACAATAAGGTAGAAGAAAACAAAAATTTAGGAATTGTAAAAACTTCTTCAGGATTTTTGAGGCCTCCTACGGCGAGACCACCCAGTGCGCGACCAGCAGCACCACGTATGCGGGGTAAAACGGATTTTATAATTAACACCAATGGGGCTAATCAAATAGCGGATATCAATGTTATAGTGCAGAATTTTGATCTTAAAGAAGACGATGCTGAAGATATGGTTGTTGTTGAAACTACGATTAATGATGACAATAGTTTACTGATTAGCAATGGTAATAATAGTAATAATGCCAATTGGAATGATAAACAATTGACGCAAGAGCATGGTTATCTGGTGGCTCAAATACTGGAAACACAGCGTGAGTTAGTTAATGAAGATAATGTTGAATTGATACCGAATAAAGTTGAAATTGAGTGGGAATCAGGTGTCAAAAAAGACCGTGATTTTGTTGTCAAAGAAATAGATAAATTACGGGGTACCATACAAAGTTTAACGCGAACAACGAATCCTCTGGGAAAACTATTTGATTTTTTACAAGAAGATGTTGAAATAATGCAACGCGAGTTACGTGATTGGCGAAACCAGTTCATTGAGATAAGAGAGCAGTTGATTGTTGAAAAGAGTAAAACGCTTAATTTATTGAAACCGCTTGAAGACTCATTGAGCGAAGTCGAAAATAATATCAAGTCTCAAATGGAAAAAATTTATCAAACAAAGTCTAATGTTTTGAAAAACAATTTAAAAATTTCACGGTTACTCAGTGGTCAATAATTTATTGTTTGTTATTTTTAAATATATTGTATTTTTGTGCAATTAGTTGATTTGATTAAATTAAAAACAAAAAAAAATTGGTTTGTTTGAATTTTTTTTAACCTTCGCGCCAATGTCTTCGGTCAAATGCGCGTGCGCATTAATAATTTATTCAATATGGCGACGGATGAATTTTATTGGTAAAAAAAATTCTATCCAGACAGTTCCAGTGATTCATGGTTGATAATTTAGTAGTAAGTGTGACTAAAGTCTCAGTAATCAGTGATCTAATAGTTGATAATCATTAAAAGCATTAGAGTACCTATGATTAATAACAAATAAAATAATTAATATATTAGTTTAAGGTATAATTATTATTAATAGGAGGGCGGGGTTTTTGATATAATAATATTAATAATTAATAATAATAGTTATTGTTATAAATTTCTTTTTACACAATCGTGTAATGATAAATCGAAAGAATCACCACTCAGGAATTTACTTGTGACGATAATAAATTTAAAAAACTTAATAAGTATGAGGAGCCTTTGTTGAATGACTCATTTGCTTTATCGTTTTAGTACGTGAGCATTGCCCAATTGTTAATTTAAAAAATTTTATTTATTTTCCGTATCATATTTCATCGGTAAGTATTTATTTATTTGTATTTATTTTTTTTTTTTGCTTTTATTATAAGTTTGTTTTATCATATATAAGACGATAAAATTTTTTTTTACATTTAGTCATGATGTCAAACGTTAAAAATTTGGAGCAACAAATTGCAAGCTTGCAAATTGACAATGCCAATAATTCAAAGGAAATAAGTAGTACAAGTGGTATTGCCGGTACAGTTAAACAAGTTAAAAAGATAGGACCTGCGGTACCACCAAAACCTAAAAAGTCGCAACCACAGGTTAGCTATAATTTTAATTAATTAATTTTTTTTTGTAATACTAACAATGACTCTGAAATCGGCAGACATCTGTTAATTTATTCTATTTTTATGACAAATTGAGTATAAAGAAAAAAATATTTTTTCTAAAAAATTGCACTTATAATCCTTTTAAACTTATGAATGTCGAATTTGTTATTAAAAATTTGTTCATAATAATTTAGTTATAAAAATGAAAAAAAAAAAAAAAAAATTGACAAATGTCTATAAATTTCATTAAAATAAAATTAGCAGACATCTGATAATTTTTAGAAATTTTTTTAGTAATAAAATTATTACAAAAAAATTAAAAAAAAACTTCCACATGTAGAAAATTTGAAAAATTACACGTGCAATTTTTTAAAAATATTATTTTTATTTCTAATTAAATTATTTAAAAAAAAAAACTAGAAATTTTTCGTTGGTTAATTTTAGTTTGATGTGAATTTCAGTATCATATACTAACATCTCGTCGCTTTGTAGAAAATTCAATTTAAAAAAAAAAAAAAATAAGATATTAGTTTGTTTTAACTTCTCTGCAATTTATAAATACGTATTTTTTATAATAAAAAAATACTGGATATTTCAATTACTACTACTCAACATAAAAGAATAGTTGTAAAGAAAAAATTTACTTTAAATCTTTAAATCTGTTGGCATGCAAATTTATAAAAATTTTATTATCAAATGTCTATTTAATGCAATTGATAAAAAGTTTTATGAAAAAAAAAAAATCTATTTAATGAACTACTTTTCTGAACTAAAATTTCAATAGATAGCAATTTTTTTGTAGTCAATATAAACTAAATTGCTAGTTTGAAATATTAGCAGCATTTTGATAAAATTCTAATAATTATTTAAAATGATTTTTGTAACCTCGGCCTACATTTTTAGCTCAGTGACATTCTACTACTATTTTTTGTTTACTATTGTTAAGCGTTAAATTATTAAGTTATTATTTACGGAAATAAATTACATTTTTTTTTTTGTTTCCAGGTACCGCAAAGCTATACCATAAAATCTCCATCAACACCATCATACAGTACTGTCTTAAATAATACCCAAATGAATGAAAAGATAAACAATTATTATGCAAATACACCACTGCCATACGTGCCGCCCAATACTGAAAAAAATGTTTTTACATCTGGATTATCATCACAGCCGCCATCGACATCACAACCATTAATAACAACGAATTCAGCAAGAGCAGATGCTCGTAACTATTACAACAACGAAAATTTTTATCAAAATGACCATTTATACAGCAACGAAATAGAAAATTTCAATGGTAAACGTACTGACGTTAATAAAGTAAATAACAGTATTACCTTGAACCCTAGATATGATGATAAAAATTATTATTTAAATATTGGAGGTAATATTCCGGCACCTCAGGCGCCAGTTATGGTTGACAACAGATCAATACGCGCAACACGCAATGTTGTTTACAGTAATGTTGAACCAGCTGTACCGATACCTGTACCAACACCGATAAATTCCATAAAAGAAAAAGACATAATCTACAGTAACATCCAGTGGAATAAGCCAGAAAATACTTATTCAAACATAACAAATGCTCGTGGTAAGTTTATAAACGTTTAAAAGTTTGTAATTGAGTCAATATTATTTATTATATTATTTAATTAACTTACAGATGATTTACCACCGCCGCCAGAGCCTACGGAATATATTTCATGTGTGCCTGGTTCATTTCCACCTCCTCCCGAAGAATTGCCGCCACCACCAAGTCCCGTATCATCAAGTTACAGTGAATTACGCCGTGCAACCTATGATCCTCATCACCAAACAGATTACCCACCAGATCATCATCATCATCATCATCATCACCATCACCATGACTATCCAAATGACATTTACGGACCAAGTTCGCAGTCAAGCTCAACATATGAATCAATATATGAGCCAATAAATCCACGGCCACCTTCACAGTTGTCTTGTAATTATTCCATGTACTCCGGGTATGGATCAGCAAGTACACAGCCCCCAGGTAAAGTGTCTCCCGTAAAAGAAGTTGATACTCTAACAGATTTACTAGTACAGGGTATGGAAGACAACCAAGATGACAGTGATATCTATGGAATTTGTGCACATTGCGGAAAGAAAGTAGAAGGTGAAGGTACCGGCTGCTCGGCAATGGATAAAGTATTTCACATCGATTGCTTCTGTTGCTTTGTCTGTCGCGTCAATTTACAAGGCAAACCTTTTTACTCTCTTGAGGGCAAGCCTTACTGCGAGGAAGATTATTTGAATACTTTGGAAAAATGTTGCGTCTGTACTAGACCTATTCTAGATCGCATTTTGCGTGCAACTGGAAAACCTTATCACCCGTCTTGTTTTACTTGCGTTGTCTGTGGGCAAAGTTTGGACGGCATTCCTTTTACTGTAGACGCTACTAATCAAATACACTGTATTCAGTGCTTTCACAAAAAGTTTGCTCCACGTTGCTGTGTTTGCAAGCTGCCGATTATGCCCGAGCCAGGACAGGATGAAACTGTTAGAGTTGTAGCTCTCGATCGTAGTTTTCATATTCAGTGCTACAAATGTGAAGACTGTGGACTTCGTTTGTCTTCTGATGCTGAGGGTAGTGGCTGCTATCCACTTGATGATCACGTTCTTTGTAAAAGCTGTAATGCTAAACGTGTGCAGGCACTCACTTCTCACATGACTACTGAACTATAATAATTTAATCTTCAAGGTGCCATATTTTAATAATTTTTTTATATTGATTATAATTAGAATAGTTTATGAGTCGATGAACATTCCACTAGTTTTTATTTCTATTTTTTAATTTTAAAGTATTGAATAATACTTATGAGCATATATATATTAATAAAAAACATTTAAGTAAGAGTATTGGATGAAATGATAATCAAAAAAAAAATTTGAAATTTTTAAATTATCAATTGTTAGAAAACAATTTTTGAAACTGTTTTCATATAGGTATATAAACTTAAGATTTTTATAAGTTTTAATTATTATTAGTTCTTTAAACAGAGTAATTAGGAAAATTTAAGACTAAAATATACAATATGTTTAAAAACGGCTATTGTCTAATTATAAACTTTATATGTGGTTGAGAGTAATAAGAAATATTTGCATTTATTTCTTAAATGAAAAGTTGACTGTTGAACGAACAAGCATCAATATAATTATTATAATTACTCAAAGTTATAGAAATATCTATTGTGATAAATAAAATATCGCGTAACTAGTGTCAAACGAGCGTATAATAAAATTAATTTTTTTCTCCAATCTGAAAAAGTAAAAAAAAAAAATTTGGTGAAAAAATGCAAAAAAATTTTTTTCGACATACGCCCTTTTGATTTAAAAAAAAAAAAACAATTTTAAAGCCAAAAGGGCGTATATAAAAAATGGTCAAAATAGCTTCTAAGAGTTCAAAACGTCAAAATCTAATAAAATATTGATTTTTGGAAATTGAATTGAAAACACTAACACATCCCAATTTTTTGAAGTTAGTAATTTTTCGTACTTTTTGAATTTTAATTGAAAAAATTTGAAATAAAATTTTTAACTTCTCTTTTTAAAAAAATCGTAAACTTTAATAAATTGGGCTGTGGCAGTGTTAGTTCAATTTCTAAAAATCAATTTTTTATTAGGTCTCGACATTTTGAGGCCCTGAGAATAAGCTCAATGAGGACTCGAAGACTTCGTTATATATAACAACGAATTCAAATCTAGCTGTAAAATCTCATTAATCTCATTATTCAATACCATATAATACAAATTTTTATTAAAATTAAACGGATTCTGACAAATTCGATTCATTAGTTTATAATAAAAAATTAATTTTTGGAAATTGAACTGAAAATACTATCACAATTTAATTTTTGAAGTCTTTGATTTTTTCTTTAACGAGAAATTAAAAATTTTATTTCAAATTGTTTCAATGAAATTTTATAAAATAAAATACGAAAAATTGAAAACTTAAAATTGGGATATGTGAGTGTTTTCAATTCCATTTCCAAAAATCAATTTTTCATTAGATCTCGACGTTTTGAGATCATTAGAATTTATTTTTAACATTTATTCATATACACTTTTTTGGGTCAAAACATTTTTTCTCTTAAAGCCAAAAGGACGTATGCCGAAAAAAAACTTTTGCATTTCTTAACCATATTTTTACTTTTGTACATTCCTAAGTTGATTGGAAAAAACAAATTTTTATACACCCTTCGACATTAGTAACGCAATATGATTCTCGAATATTTGTAACCACTAACTGATATGATATAAACTAGTATATAATATTTGTTTTCGTTCAAATTTATTGCATTATATCTTTATTGAAATTTGTAATTGATATTATCGACGTGTATCGCTTTGTATTTAAAATTTAATAAATAAATAGAATTTTATCATTCAATACTATAGTAATTATTGAATTATTATTTAGGATATCATAAATTCTAAGAATGATTTAGCCGATCAACCGAACATGTGTGGAAAAAAATACGTAAAAATATTTTTCAACATGATAAAACAGAATTTATTGAAGGGCTATAATTGTGATTTTCTATCTTGATTTTTAATATGACTTTTTTATACAATTTGCAAACGATATGAATTACAAAAAAAACGTATCACTGATTAGGAAGGAGACCAGCGAAATCTTGGATTTTATGACAGGATAACTTTTTAATACACTATAAAGTAAAAAAACAACGTAAATATATGCATTTAGTTATGATTATTTTATTGATGCATCAAATACAAATCCATTATCCATTAAGTATGATCATTCGTTATTTTTATATTCTTAGTTTTTAGGATCATAAACAAATAAATTCTGACCCGAAACCCTTTTGCCTTTCCCAATCAGGCAAATCCTTGTTAATGCATTTACCATTACAACATTCTCTATGACTCCGGCACTAAATGATCGATAATAATAATAATAATAATAATAATGATATTTATTATATTAGTGATTATTATACAAAATCCAGTTGTTTATTCATAAATATCTAAATAACCATAGTTACCTGGCGGCCGGTAAGTTTACAGGATTGTACAAAGATGAATTGCGTCAGTGACATGATCACCAGGACAGCCATTAACCCAAGAAGTAATTTGGACATTTTTTTTTATCGTAATTTCATTAAGTTTACCTAGATAGTTGAATTATAAATTAAAAAACAGATGTTCAGTATGAAAACGATGAATTTTTATTTATAAAACCCGATTGAAAAGAGTATAATCATAGAAAAAGTACTTACTCGAAAAAAATTATTGGATTTGATGTTGTCTTCGGAGCGACAATGAAACCAATGGATAAAAATTTGTTATTTTTAAGGCTTTCTCAATTTTCTCAATTTTTAAATATCTCTATTCTCAAATAATTTTATTCGTAAATTAACTTTTATTAAAATTTATCTATTCTCAATTTTTTTTTTTTTTATATCTAAATAAGTATATCCTTAAATATCTCTATTCCTGAATAATCTTTGAGCATTGAGTTAATTTTTGAGCTGTAATTAAAAGAATACATTTTTTATTGTTTGATTAAACGAGAGGTAATCATAAAATAATCATTTTTCTAAATTTTTATTTATTTTTTGCTGAAAAAATGTAAGATAAAAAATTTGATAAGTAATTTTTTCTGTTTAAATTAAAAAAAATCGGATTTCTTGATGAATATTCCCGAGAAGATATTTGTTTTTTTTTTTGAGTGAATTGGTTTTAGAAAATTGAATTATCATAAGTAATTAAAATCTAGTTTACTTGATAAATATCTAATTTAACATCTAAGATCATTTTAAAAATTAAAAAGCTTGATAGTAAATAAATTTTTTTCAGCTTTCGAGGGTAGAAACTTTAATTATTATGACATTTGAAACACGTATTTAATATTATTCTCAATATTAATTATTTACTTATGATTTAACAAAAAATTTTTAAATAAAACAAAATATTTTTGGTCAATATAGTTATTGGGAATTCCCAAAATGTAAAAAAATAATTTAATTGGTTCTTATATTAGTGTGATAATTAACTAATTAATGAAGTAATTAATTGACATCATGGTTGATATACTTACAAATTTTCCCAGCCGGGAGCAAAAATCAATTTTAGGATAAAATAAGTTATCAATACAAAAATTGTCTAATCCTTCTTGCTGATAACCTTGATCTACAGGATGTACAATTTTTTTTTGTAATTTCAGCCTGAAAGGGGTCTATATAGGTATGAATTTTATGTATTTTATCGAGTGCGATCCACTCTTATAATTTAGATGAAAAATATGAAAATATATCATGTAAGAGCAAACTATTCGTAACGTGATTGGTCAAATATATCATAAGCATGAAAATATAGATAATTTCATATCAACATTCACACGCGCGCTTGCGCGCGCAACGTATACTAGTAAGTGAAATTAAAGAACACTTTTATCATATACTTTTGTGCCAGATACCCAGATAGCAATATGACGTCTTTTACAGTTCTCAAAGAACTCTTATTTAAGATTTAGACGTCAGAATTTTGATCAAAATGAGGTCTCCAAGACGTTTTGAGGACGTCCAATGCGCCACCTAAAGAGTGAATCAGGACTTCATAGAGAGAGTTCTTAAAGAGCTCTTTTTTCTGACTTCAAAAAAAGAGTTCTTCAAGAAGTCAGAATTAAGAGCCCTTTCTGACTCCAGAAAAAAATAATTTATAAAGGAGACATTTTCAGTTTTAATTGCATTGTAATTAATATTAAAAAAGAGCTTAAATTAAAGACAATCAAGTACATTAAAATATATTTTCTTCAAAATTAAAAAAAAAAAAA